TATATAAACTACTAAAATTAATTACGGAGTTATTATTTATTTGTAGTATTGTGATATACATATAAATTATCATCATAAATACTACAATCTTATAATATATTTTATATGTGACATAGTGTAACATAATAATATAACAATACGATGTATTAATATAGACAGAGTGTTGATTGTACAAAGTACGTTTCATACATGTTGTATTACAAACATTGTATTTATCATGTACAATTTATAATTTATTGTACTGTTTTTTTTATATCATACAGATATAGTCCATCTTGTCCTGAGATATAAGGAGACTATATATAAATACATCGTTAATTCTTTCGTTCCAGTTTTCTTTCAAAAAGTATCGATAGCTCGAGTCTTCTTGTAACGAAAACGAGAGCGAAAGGAAAGGAAACGAAGAAAGAGAAAACAGGTATCACGGGTTCGTTAGTTAAGGGATCGACGTCTAGAAGGCAAGAGCGGACGTGGAATCTTGAACGGCGCTTAGGGTGAACTCGTCTTAACCACTTCTACAGCTGGAAAGCTCCGAAGCGTGGTCCACGAGCCACACGGTCTGGTAAACTAACGAAAGAGAAGTCCCCCAGTTACGAAAGTGCTGCACTACACGCGGACAATTCTGTAGAACAGCTCGCAAAGAAAAGCTCGGCCCCGGCATTCTTGCCAGACGTTGTCAACTTTAGTCCGGCGTTGATCCTCCCTCCGGCTTTCAGAGCGCGCCTCTCGATTTCCGCTTTGAACCTTTCGATCGGATTTTCGGAGAGTCGAGCCACCCGTTCTTTCTTCTTTTTTCTTTTTTCTTTTCTGTTTTTTTTTTTTTTTTTTCAGTTCTTCGGCCGAAAAACAAACGGATCTTGCACGCCGCCGAAAATCCCGATGTTTATTTAAATTTCCCTTTATCCGGCTCTCTTTATCGATTCGCTCGCCGCGTGGAAACTTCGCGAGATCGTGCAACGCGATTTCAAAGCTCTCGCAGCATTCCGATTTCACTTGGCGATCGAGTTTTCCGAACTCGATCCGGTGGAGGAGGGGAGGAAAGTTTCGATGCTCTTTCGAGCGCTCGCGAAAATTACCAAGAGTCTGGAAGTTTAATGGCGTACCGTAATTTTAGAACGTGCTCGTGTTTAAATGCGTGTGCGCTTGCTGATGATGCACGGGTATGGACGAGAGAAAGGTTCTTCTCGTGTGAGTTTTAATAATCTGTCATCTCGGGAGTATGGAACAAACGACTACTCGTGACACTCGTTTCAAATTCGTACTTCGATTTCCTCGAAAACGAGGATTTTCCCGAAATTTTATACGAAATTTTTTGTTTAAATTTTTTGTTTACTTTTCCGTGTAGAATCACCTCCAATGCGCTGTATATATATATATATATATATATATATATATATATATATATATATATATACGAACGATTCTAAAACGAATTAAACAGAACTTCGCGCAACGAGTTAACGCATATTAAAATCACCATGATTTCGTTCATACATTTCCATGTATAAAATTATGTGATGTTATGTATATCTCAATATTTTTTCGAAACTAATTTTGGCTTTAATTTCATTTACGGTTCATTACGTAGGAAACAATGAGGAAGAAAATAATATTATATAATTATATTATATAATTATATAACTAGATCATTAGACATTGATTTATTTTGCGGTCAGATTAACAGGTTTAAATCACAATTGCTGATGCAACAAACTAAAGTAAATACAGTCCAGAGCGAAGGATTGTTCACGTTGTTGTACGTTGTATAATTCGAAGTGAATTTAAAAATGGTAAAATGGTGCGAAGAGAGAAGGGTCGTCGATCATTCGTGAACCAACGGACACTCTATTGATGTTATTTCGTTAGAACAGGGGCAAAATAGCTGAACAAACCGTTGGTCGAGTTACACGCTGTTACCTTCACAAAACTGTCCACTACTCGCTCTCGATTCACTGGCAATGCATATCTCGTATCTGGTCAGTCAGGATTGTTCGAAAACTTCCCCATCGGGCTCCAACCTCGCGCGTTTAAATTACCAAACTATTGGTCTGTTCAGAACCAAACAGATCCTCTTCTTTCTAACGATTTTCTTTCCACAATTCCGGGTTTTTGCGCTTCGTTGTGTTTCGAGTTCTGACATTTACGATACTACTTATGAAAATAAAAAAAAAAACGCGAAGGGAACAAAATTTTTTGGTATTCCGTTATCGTTGAATGTGTCAGCGTATTCTATGATTAAAAATAAGAAAGAATTTATCACAAACTTATAATAAAAGGACCAAAATTGTAAGTGATTGGTTTCTTATTAAGTTAGCTATCATTGTAACTATTATTTTGTACATTTATGGTTGTACCAATTAGTACCAAATAATACATTAGTTAATTGAATAAATTTCTAGTTGTAATATTTTTCTTATAGCGTTTGTGTAAATGATGCATTTACAAACCTATGTTTGTATACCTTTTTCTTACTCTTAATTACTACAGAACATACTGACACCGTTTGGAGAGATAGAAATGAAACACCCACTATATGCAGAAATTCGGAGCATTTACTTTACTTCCTGAGCGAAACAAACTTTTTTGCACATTTCTTTGAGAAGCAAAAAATATCAGAGTTGCGACAAATTAATTAGAAGAATTAGTTCATTAGTACGAACAAACAATATTTGTTCAGCAGAATCGTTTTGAAATCTTCAGCCTTAAGTAACTAAAGTAAAATAAAACACCCGAGAATTGAGATTTTAGTAAACACCGATTAGGGCTCTCGAATCGGTTCGAAACTTCTTTCGAAAAATTCGCCGGTCGATCGTTCGGGGTTTCAGCCTCGAATAGCGGCGTTAACAATTTGCGGATATTCGAGAAACAAATTTATAGTGCTTGTTCCAGTGGATTGGCGTGTCGTGTATCGAGTTGACGCGTGACTCCAATGAAATGCACGATGAAACAGATTATGCCGTATTTGCGCCGCGCGAAAGGCGACAGCGACAAAAAAAAAAAGAAGAGAAAAAAGAGTGAAAAAATTCCTGAACGAATGCGGTTGATACTCGTTACATTCAGTATATTCAGCACACTGTAGCGTGGTGTTTCGAGCCCTTTCATGTCGTCGCGTACCGCGTCCACTGGGGAAATTGTGCCCGATGGAAGAGCGCGTGGGCACTGCGAGATCTAACGAAATCAAAAATAAACGAAAGAGAAAAAAAGAACGCAATTTCAAAATCCCTTGAAAAAACAAATAGATTCGACGTTCCGAATCGACTTTTCCCGTAGAACGTGATAAAACGGATCGAGTTCCCTCTGTAATCGAAGATACGCGTTTCGTCGATTTGCTTGTTACTTTTCTGCAAACGCGTTCATTCCGCGCATTAAGAAATATATTGCGAAATACCAGCGAAGTGATTTGATGACAGTGAAATTTCACTTATATCAATTTGCAGTGGAGCAAATGGCTGGCTCACGCTTTCATCAGCGCATTATCGGAAAAACATTTCGAAATTTCATGAACGAGATAGTATTATTACAATTGAAAAATGGAATTTAAAAATGTGTATACCTAGATATTATGAAACGTATAAAACGTACATAGGTATGCGGAGTATTGGAATTTGTTGCAATTCTACAGTGATATTTGTGTACAGTAATACACGTAATATTTGAACAATCGATTGTTCGCTCTGTGTGTTTAAGACCATTATTTCCTTTTTGATTAAGTATAACTAGTCACAGAAATATTCGTATCGATGAAAATAAATATTTTTTCCTTAATTGAATTTTCTTTTTTGAAATTTTTATCGCGAAATTTTTACCGCATCGATTGTTTAAAATTGTATAAATGGATTATAAACGTACGAATATTTCTGTGACTCGCCGTATATATTTAGAGTGAACAGCTTAATTCCAAACGTTCCTATACAATTACATTAGTCGTTCCTCATGAGAGATGCTAATTAAATTTCAGAAAGTTGCGTACAACGCGTGCAATAAATCCGTAAAAATTTTCCACAAAAGTGTTCTGCCTATTGTTAATGATTTTTTTTCGTAGCATATAATAGGAGTTCGTGTTCAAACGAGTGGAAGTCAAATTTGAAATTGATTTAATTAAAACAAATGAATTTCGTACAAATTCCACTGGATTCCACTGTTATCGTGCGAATGCTCGTAGTGGCCGACACGTATTTTAATTGTTCTGAAAGTTCGCGGCTTTTCAAAGCGTCCCGTGTCCCGTAGGGCACTGTCTTCACGCAAACCCTCAAGAGATCGCTTAACCAAACAGTTGAACAATTCGAGATCACTGGAAACATTCTTTCTGCCTGTCTTCTCTTTTGTCAATTATTTTCGTCTGAATTTATCTCGTTAACGAAATAATTGCCTCTCTAAGAAAATTAATTTGCCAGGATCTCGTCTAGGCTCATTGATTTTATGAATCCTTTCTTATTCTTATATATATATATCTCTTATTTTATTTTACCTTTTCCCTGTAATCAATGTAATAATTTCTGCGCAGAGTAAATTTCTTTGCATACAAACAAAATGAATAAACTTCTTTTTTTTTTTTTGAAACGTTCCTTTTAAAATTGTATGCTTTTGTATATACATGCATACATCTCTGCATACATCCATAGTATTTATCATTTATTTACACGCTGAATTTCGCAATTACTCGTCTTTCGTACATCAAAGAACCTTTCCATTGTAAACATTGATACAAATAAACAAATAAATACGTGGCAGAAAATTTGAAGAGTCGTCGTTTCATTCGGTTCAAACAAATATTAAACGAATTGCCGTGTAAATGTTTCATCGTCAAACAGATTGCCATGTAAATGTTTTGTAAGTAATAAAAGCGATTGCGATTAATTTTTTTTTTTTTTTCTGTTTATTCGCGGAGATAGACTTAAATCAAAATCGTTCGTGTCTCGTGTGTTTGCAACGCATTCGCTTTGATTAATCTGATTTTTAATTTAGCCGAGTAAATTAATCGGTGTGCTGTTTGGTTCCAGGTGGTATAGCGTCATGTATAAGAAATTTTCGAACCGACTTTCTGGAGGAATGGCCGACTCCTGGCACGGGACCCCATTTCGACACCACGATGCAGTCGAATTTCACAGGACTCGTGGGGAAAACCGTGCATCTAGTATGCAAAGTGAAAAATCTCGGAAATCGCACGGTAAGTTTACCAAATTTAATTTTATAATTACCTTCTCTCGCTTGAAACAGGGAAAAAAAAATCAAATCTCTTTAATTAATTAACAATCATTGACGCTGTATTCGATCTCGTGTGATTTTCAGCTTTTACTTATCGCATCATACGTGTTTGTTTATTTAGTATCATTATGTTCATTTATTTAGTATCTACTTATTTTCGTTTAGTCACTTTTAGTGTCTTGTTGTCTTTTTCATAGAGTCATAATTACTGCATGTTGCTTTATAAATAACAAGAATTATAGTTTGTTAATTATTAAAAGAATTATGCCAGTCGACTGCAGCCCCTATTCTGATGAAAGTTATTCTGGAAATATTGGTCAGTCGTTGTGGTATTAACGTTATCGATTATTAAAAAGTATTCTGATAGCAAGTAACAATTAAACTGCGGATGTTTTGTATTTTTATAGGTGTAATTTAAAGAATGGAACTTAGCTAGACCACAATTTTATTTACTAAACGTTATAACACGAACGTTCAACTTTCGATATTTGATCTATGCATCTATGCATCAAAGTTTAGCATGTTTCAAATTTTACCAGTTACACAGATAAAATTGGACTTAAATTTGATGCGTATAAGCAAAACGCATATAAGCAAGTGCTTCGTTAAAATTCGTATAAACGATCGATACGAAGAATGTTTAAATTGTCTTTTTGAGACTCCCACTTTTGGATTTTTATTCATGGAGAAATATATAACACTTAAAGGCAGCAATTTACAGTACAGAAATATTAAATATTTACGCGAAACGAATATTGATTACAGAAATAAAAATATAACTGCGAGTAAAAAAATTCAACAGAGTTGACACGAAATTTGTCCTACAATAAATTCAATGGCACTTCAATGTTAATTTTGCGTCGATAAAGGATGGTGTCGCTTCGGAACGCGCGCGCAAAACAAGCATAGCGTCATGCTTCATATTTTTATCACGAACTTTTTAATGAAGCATTTATGGGCTTTCCGCTACGTGACATTTCGAGTTTTATTCCGTCTGTAATTGGCAAAGTTTGAAACGTTCTATATGTATATGTGTGTATATATATATATATTCTGTAAATCTACGTTCAATCTAAAAAAAACGCACGGCAAAAAATTCGCAGTCTTGCGGTAACGTGAATCTGCAGTAATAAATTGAAAATCAGCAGTTTCCCTCTCTTTACTGTCTGTAAATAACCAATCAATACAGAAACAAATATACAAAGTTTAATAAACTCGGTCTGAATCAGTTTCTCGAGGAGACTCTCGTCTGAAAGAAACATACGTTGGCTAACGTACGTAAGTAGGAAACTCGCGGTAAATCTTACCGAGGCGTGGAGCAATTTTCCCAAGCTCTGCTCGTGTGTGAAAACGATCGGAAGAAACGTGCGGTGAAAAATAGAGGATAAATCTCGTATCTCGGTACGAGAAGGAAGCGAAGGATTCCGTAGAAGATCCAAACGTCTTATTGATCTGCTCCTGATAGGCTCTGCTACCCTCATAGGCTATCGGTTACGTTTAATCCGCTAATTGAGTCGCGCCGGTTATGACGCGAGAGACATCGCCGATCGTGGATGCTCGTTGGCAGCAGAAACAGTTGGCAGCTTTGAAAGCGGGCCGCGGGTATACACATCCACGATATGTTTAGCCAAAGCAGCTAAGAACCCGCTGTTAATACACCGCCGACGATAATGGCGGTCTTCATTAATAGGCATACAGAGACCGCAAGCTAATCAACAGCAGTTTGACTTTGGCTTAGAGCTTCCCGATGGAGGCAATTACAATGCCGTGGACTCGGTCTTACCTGACTCTGATTCACTCCGATCACTCCGACCCTGGTTCAAGATCGTGGCATCGACGTACGTCTGAACGATAGAGTAATCGATAGACTGTAGTCATAGCTCGATCGTCGATTTTTCAGACTTTTAGTGAAAAACAGTAGAAAAAATTGTTTTACGCGTTGTGTGTGTAACTCCGATATTTCCCCGACTTATGGCACGCTGTTTTTCCAGAGAAAATCCAACAAGGCTCCATCAAGGATTTATAAGAATCGGAGATTTCTTCGAAAATTCTCTCCAAATTCTTTCGAGCTTCGAAATTCCCCACGAACGCGTAAAGATTCGCAGTTCGTCCGCGAAAGCGATGTAACTCGTATTAATTGGCTTGGAAATCCGCGAGGACCAGAACAAACTAGCAGATTTGAGAAAGTTTCCTCTTCCGAGAGAGTAATCGGATTAAAAGACTCGGAGAGCAAAAACACCTCGCGGCAGAACTTGTTCCTCCGCGAAGAAGAGGCGGAAAACGAAGAAGAAGAAGAAGAAGAATTGTTGTATCGCGAGCCGAATTGTTCGTTGTTGTTGAAACTGCAGTCGGATTACGATGCTGTGGAACAAAGCGCTCGAGATCATTACACGGTTCCATGTTTCTCCTCGAATGGCAGGAAACTGCAGCACACACGTATAGCGCGCACGTGTAAGTATACACGTGTGCGCGCGTGTACGTGCAAGCGTGAGCGTAGGTGCGATCTCCGGTCCCTTTTATCCGGGCAAAGATCAGCGCGAGTCCTTATTTTCTTGAGATCTATCTCTCTCGGCCGATCCCATTTTCCCCGCTGTCTACTTTCACGGTAAGAGCCTGTAATCCCTGCGAGCGTCAATGGTACCGGAAGTCGTAAGACGCCGCGTCTAACAGCGGCATTCCGTACGCGCAAACAACGCTGAAAATGGCCGCGTTAAACCTATCCACCGGCTGTACGATCCTTCTTTCGAGCGCGTTCGAACAATAATCGCGCGATTTACGCAAAATGCGTGATACGCATCCTTCCCCGGGGATGCAAGAGAAGCAACACGCGACGATAAAAAGGAAACGCAGACATCCGAGAAGGATTTTATGCGAGAGTCTCTTTACCCGCTGCAGGGTGCAAGGGATTTATTTTATCGAAACTCTTTCGGATAAAACAAATTCCCCGTGTCTTTTTCTCGACACTCGAGCACAAATCGGATACAATTGCCGGAAATCAAAGTGAAAGCTAGTAAGAGATCATTTTATTTGATATTACACTGGCGAAAATGCAGCGACGGTTGTTTAAATTTGGTAATTTACCAACTTTCTAAATTTCATCTTTTTTTTTCTTTTTTTCTTTTTCGATGGAAGAAGATTCAAAATTCTTACTTTCTTTCAACCAGAGACAGGTCGTTTTTATTTTCTTCGTCTTAAGGGTGTAGACTGTCTCGAGCGATTCAAGAAAAGAGATGTATTGCGAATTTCTTTTCAGTTATTTTCTAGTAATTATTAAGATATATTTTTCTTACGTCATGTTGTTACAAAATGATAGAATCGTTCACGAGTTTCGAAATCTCATTTTAATAAAACACCAATAGTTGGCCGTCGTCGTTGCAAAAAAAAAAAAAAGGGACATTTGAAGTAAAAATTCCTTTGTCAGTATGCTTAAAAATTTTATTACGAATGGAAAACCTATTTTTACTAACAAAAATCGACATTAAACGTTTACAAATGTTTAAATGCTTGAGAGATACAGAAAATACTTGTACATGACATTTTAAACGATATATATCTCTGTCTACAAATCCCTTATTTCAGATGTATCGACTTATAAAAAAAAAATAAAAAAAATTGAGAGCAATTTCCAACAAATTGAAACTTCTCGATTAATCGACGAAAGAAAAAAAGGTATCAATTAATGATAAAAGTTCGGGAATCTTCATTTAATGCTTCCTCATCGTCTACGTTCTATTTAATTGTACGAAATTTAAACAAGTTGAAGCGTTCGCGATATTATGATAAATTGCTGCTTAATCAACTTTAATCTTTCTTTAATTTGAAATTATTTCCAAACGAAATAGGTGATAGTTTATCTCTCAATGACGAGACGTTTTTCACCGAGACGCGCGTGTATTTATGGCTGGCTTGTGGTATTATATTACAGTCCACTCGCTTGAATCGTTGAAATTTGCGCGGAACAATGCAATATCGCGGCGCGGCTGCGCGAATGAATTTGAAAGGAAATTCCACGCAATTCGATCTACACCGCAGGGGGTTCCGTTGACTCGAATCTATCGTTCGGAATGCAACAGTTGCCAATTGCCGGTCGGGGGTAAGTTTCAGTGGTAAGTTGTGCGGTATCCGATTCGAAACGGCTTGCCTCCGCTCGAAAGCTGAAAACGTTTGTAAATAAACACCGGTTTAAGTGGGTGTTCGATACGTCGAATGTTCGATATGCAAGGTTCGATTGAACGTCAACAAAGGGAAACATCGCGAGCATAAATAGAAAGTAAGAGAGATGAAAAATACTCCGTTTTACTTCCATTAGAGACGGAGTATTCGAGTATCTCACGTCGGGAGTGATCTTATTATTCGAATCTTTGATTCGCCAGTATATTGCAGATTTTTGTAAAGATTAATCAAAATCTCCTCGTGCGCCAAATATTTACAGACAACGCTGTTTGATTTGGACGTTTTATATTTTTTTTTTATATTATTTACCTTCTGCATGTGCAATTCTTTCATAAATACGTAAAGATCCGCAGTTTATTTATTTTCAATAGTCCTTTCAAATAAGTGCGTTAGATTCGAGCATCTTGCGAGAAATGAAAGCAATATTTCTCTAAGATTTGAATACCAGTAGAGAGAGATGAGATTGTGACTGAACTTGCAAGTGGGTTTTGAATTTTTTTAAGGGACTCCCTTTAAGCCACGAAATTTTTCATTGGACGAAGTATGTTCCAATTTTTTTTTCTCTTTTTTTTTGGTGCATCCAGTATTTGCACAATACAAATACGATTTTCACTGTTATAATCTCTCTTTGAGATTTGACAATGTCAGTATCACAAGTTTTCGTTCTTCTATCGTCGTTTATTTTTCTCTGTCTTCCATTTCGTTAAAGTCGTTTCAAATATTCATTGCAATCAGAAACAAAGACAACACATCTTTATTTCGGAGGATCGTTAAATGTTACAAGCGAATGATTTTTTACAGAGATGTTGATAATACACGACTTTCAATTGTTGTAGGCGAACCGGAGAATATTTGCAATACGATTTTCATTGTCAGATCGCACTGTAAAATTTATTTACCATTCTTACAATTTCTCTTTGAAATTCGCTTTGATTTCAACGCGAAATGTCATGAATTTTCACTCTTCTATTTGTCGTTTGCTGTTTCTCTCGCATATGTCCTGCGGTTCAACCTGACAATCAAAAAGGAAGATGGTATCGGAAAATAATTGACAACGTATCTTTTGATTCAGGAAATCGTCGAATGTTGCAGACGAACGGTTTTTAATATGACAGAGATTTCGACGAAATGTTCTTGTTCCTCTACACGCGAATATGAAATTCTCCATGTGTATCGATCCTCGTACTCGTCCGACATTTACAGGAAATCTCGCAAAGTAGAAGCCAGAAATATTATTAGTCCAAGTAGAAGAACTGAAAAGAAACAAATCTCGATTTAAATGAAATCAAAGCTAAATCTTTGAGCTTCTCCTTTGAATTCTCTATCGAGGAAGAAGAAAGGATCAGGAGAAGAAAGGATCTTTGCTTTTCAAGATCCAAGATTATTATTTATGAATCTTACAAGCATCGAACTAATTACAAGTATATTTTCAAAATCTATAGATTCGAGATCAGCTTGCATAAAATGAAAATTGGTTCTAAGACTATTGGTGGATAGTGGCGAATTCTATTATAATAATTCTATAAATATAATAACGGTCGTAATAATTTTATTTTTTAATAATATAATCTATACACGCGTGACTATACACTTTTAGACCAATTGAAACCGATACATTCCACACAGATCACTGCAGACAAACCAATCACTTGCGCGAGTTGAGACGTTGCTCAATCAAGCCGAAACAAATTTGTAACAATTATGAATGTTATTTTTAAAAATTCACGGCTCAGTTCACTCGTATCGTACATATTTCACCACCTACAATAAATAAATTCGTGAAAAAAATAAATCTGTCAACCGCGAATACGTAAAATCGCGAAAATTAAATTAGATAGATACGATTTCTATCGCACATTGCAAGCGCGAGCTCATCGAATACCAGCTTCACTCTCAAGTATATGTACACATCATATATATGTATATATTCGAAACGAAATTTCGGTATCAAACTTAATTCGTATTCCTAAGTGCTTCGACGTCGAATTTAATTCGAATCTCCAAGCGCATATTAAACTTGATCTCGTCCCCATTCATTTATAAACGCGGTGATGGCGCGGCGGTAAAGCGTCGCGTCGCTGAATTCGCTCTTCTCTCGCTTCGCTCGGTTCAGCCGATTTCATCGTTTGATGGCGTGTGCGCGTGTACGCGTGTACGAGCTGCATAGATTTCGGTTGGATTTCAGCAAACAATACCGCGACTAATGCCAATGACACACCGCTGTCATCTCGAGAACTCAGCTGCCAGGTTCGCGGCCGACGTAGGACAATACCGAATCTCCATGGTGATGTCACACTCTCGCGCTTCGAGTGCCCGTTATGGGGAATTGGTTTATGCATCGGTGATGGTGGCGAGGGATACACACCACCTCGAAGGGGACCGTCACGCTGCACACGCCCGATTATACGCCGTGCCACGCCACTGACTGCTTCTTTGGCTCTCTCGTCGTTTCCCCTGTAGTTCCAAGACTCCTTTTCAGCCGAGAGCAGCCCGCCCGATTCGAGGCTACAACCGTAGTTTACCGCGGCATTGTTCGTTACGATCTCTTCAAATACCGCCGTACAGTCTTTGGACAAGTGTTGTGCCCGTTTCGAAATTGAGTCGAGAGTGAGTCGGGATCGTGGTATAAAATTGAACGCCAATTGATCAATTTACTTTTTGTTTACCCCTTGAAATCTTCTTTAAAATTTGATACCGAACGGGGAAACATACGACAAATTGAGAAAACGTTCACTTCGATATACTCAAAATCTGTAATAAGTGAACTGTAATAATTGTTCCTACAGTCCAGTTCAGACCATCAAATAAAAAAAAGAGGAAGAAGAAATTTAAACTGGACTGTAGGTTGCGTGCATTCGTAGCTTGATGTCATTTTGCAAATAGTAATAGATTTCGGAGAAATCGAAATTTCGCTCGCTTCATGAATAATAATACTACCGAGAAAATTTGGAGATGACCACGCACGAGTCTCGTATAGTGTATCGTAAATTAGTACGTAGTTTCATGTGTTATTTCATAGTACTGTAAATCAGTACAGTTTCATCATACACGAATTATGATTCACAGTTATATTCAAATTTAAGCAATTCGTTGGGAAAAGAAAATGATATCCAAAAATGATATAATGATTAATTTAAAATATTCTTGTTGAAAAGATTAGTAGTAAAAGACAAGATTGTTTCCCTAATTGTAAATTTCAAAGAAAAATACTTGAAGTATCTGATATTATTTAAATAGCAATGATCTATTATATTTATCAATAATTTAATAACTTTTACATTTTTACCGCAAAGTTACACTTTCACGAATTCATTACAATGGGGAACAATGACCAAAATTGAATTTATTACAATGAAAAAATTCGTGACGAAAAACTAAATTTACGCTGGCGTGATAATTCTTGTGTTAATTTTTAAGTTATGACTACTAATTAATATATATCAAATAGAATTTTATATAAAAAAGAAATTTCATTGTAGCCAAAATTCGGAATGACTACGTCGTTTGTTTAGAATAATCTTTCGAAAATTATAATTTCAAAAGACAAAGAAGTTTGCGATGAAGAAAAGAAACTAAACCTGTTTAATTGTTACAAACGATACGGTAAGATGTGACACGAAAATAGTAAGTGGATTGGTTGATCTTCAAAACACGAGCACACGAAAAAATATTAGCACGTCCGGTCTATCCTAGTTAGACAGTAGAATTCACTCGTAGAATTCACTCGACTATATTACATTACGGTTCATCGATATCGTTTTGTTGCAGTCTATCGATTTAAATACACCGAAACACGAAACTCGCGCAGCTGACCTACGAATTAGCGCCACACACGCGTGATCGCAATCTGCATATCAAACTGTATTCATTTTTTTTTTCCTTTCCTTTTTTTTATCGATTCTATCGAGAGATGCATTTGCCCCATCGAGCAATCGCAAAAATTGCCACGTTTAACTAACCTGGCCTGCATTCCTCTTCGACAGAGAGTGTAGAGCTCGCGTTTGATGAAATTAAATAAAACAGTGACACTTGTTCGGTGTGAATGATTTCTTCTGAAGAATATCGTTTTCGTTATCGACATGGAAGGATAACGTAACGTTTTTTGTCATAGGTTTCCTGGGTGAGGCATCGAGATATACACCTGCTGACGGTTGGTCGTTACACGTACACGAGCGATCAGCGTTTCGAGGCGTTGCATCTCCCTCACGCCGAAGAATGGACGTTGAGGATACGATATCCACAGCGGAAGGACTCCGGGATTTACGAGTGCCAAATATCAACGACACCGCCTATCGGTCATCCCGTTTATCTAACGATAGTCGGTAAGTTCGACTACGGCATACTCTCTTGATTCTTATAATTATAATTACTAGAGTCTAAGCGTAAGAATTTAGAAACCAGCGCCTAAGAATCTAGAAACTAGAAAGAGAGAGAGAGAGAGAGAGAGAGAAAAGTTGAACTAGAAGTATATTATTTTTCAGCAGATTGTTCGGTCAATGTCCATGAGAGATTTTTTACAATCACCTCGTGGCCCTGACAGATCTGGGTCCACGTCGTTCAAGTTCCATTGATTCGAACCGGTTGTTCCATTTGCAGATTATTCCTTAGATTCGCTAGTTTCGATCGAAAACGAAAATTGTAGAATATAAATTGCAGCAGGAATTTGTTTCGATTCGAATCTGGATCGTTATTCATTTCGAAGGTGGACGCGTGCCTTAGGGGCACCATAAATACAAAAGCATTCGCGTTCGCGTTTAACGCCAATATCTCGCCGATTTAATGAATTGCGTGGCACAGGGGTCAATCATTCCGCCAATTGGGATACGCTGTACCGTTATTAAAGTAAATCATTAACGTCACGCGATAATGACTCGTCACGGTGAACACGTCCTCTTCCGGGAGGGGAATTTCGAAACCTGCTGTTTTATCATGTTAGCCAGATTTTCAATGATTCAGTTAGAAAATTTTATCGGACGTACATGTCTGATAAATTTAACTGATTGGAAATTCTGCCAGAAGTTGACATCTTCATTCGAGATAACGTTATATATACATATATATAGTATTTATCAGAAAATTCTTAATTAACAAGGAAATATTTTTAATTCTTTTTAATCATGGTGTAACATTAGCCATCCTAAAAGTCGAAGGCTCGCAGTGTAAATTATTAATAGTAAGTTATTAATTATCATTGCGCAGAATCAAATCAATGAAAAATCATTTGCAGTGTTGAAATATCAAAAGTACTGATTTTAATTACACGAAATATTTCTGTTATCTTCGTTTCCCGCGTAAATTTTCTCGTAAATATTGCAAAAAAAAAAAAAAAAAAAGAGAACAAAACGTAAAACGTAAAACGTGATGAAAAGTTGTTTTACGTATCGCGCACATCACAGAAAGTACCATCCTTTGGATATTTCCACGTAATTTCGTGTAGTTGCTTAAAATTTCAAAAAAAAA